GCTTCCTGGGCAGGGGCCCGCTTGGGAGGCTCTGCTTCCTGGGCAGGAGCCCGCTTGGGAGGCTCTGCTTCCTGGGCAGGGGCCTTAAGCCATGTGAGAAAGCCGAGCATGAACCAAAGACAGCGTTGCCATTTCTGCTTAAGTTCCTGCCCTGACTTCCCTCAGTGATGGACTGGGACCCGGAAGAATAAGCTTAAATTTTTTTTTTCTTTCTCCCCGAGTTGCTTTTGATCAGACTCTTGTGTCACACTAACAGGAAGGAAACTGGGAGTGGAAGCCTTCCGCACACAGCCCTCAAGGGGGCCACTGATCCAGACCACAACAGATTCCTCTGGGAGGGTGCATAACTTGACTCTGGGGGCTCCTGATGCCACCTGGCAGATGTGGCCCCAGCCTGTTGGTCATCGCTGTTCCCTGGGCGGAGGGGCCCGGCTCCCTCTCCCATTGCATCCTCTGACTGGACTAGAAACACCTCAGCCTTTCATGCCTCCTCTCCCAACCCTGAGATTGTACAGTCTAAGGCTGAGGGGCAGGGAGGGGGTGTCTGACAGCAGCTACACAATCGCATTAGGTCTCCAGCAAGGGCATTTCCGTCTTCCCAGCATCCCGTTCAGTTGATGCACTGAGTGACTAGTGAATAGAATCCTGTCCTCCCCACTTCCCCGCTGTCTGTCCCCAGCCCGTTGGTTCATCTGCAGAGCTGGCCAGGCTGTAGCCATCTTCTCACTGGTGTGATCCCAGACTGACAGGCAGGCTTTGAAGGTGACCCTTGAGGGGAGACTGGCTGGCACCTCCAGGGCCAGCAGCGAGCTTTTGATGTGCCCACTCACCCTCCCTTCTTGCTGATTTGACTCAGCCCAGATCCCGGAGACGGGAGAACGTGTGCTACCTCATCTGCCTAGACAGAGCCCTGCCATCCCCACCTCCCCCCAGCGTGACTGAAGACAGTGCCAGAACCTTCTCCATGGCCACATGCTGCCATCTAAGCTGCCAGAGCAGGCTCCTGGTGCCTCAGTCAGAGCCGCTGAACAGGGACACGTGTCTCCCTGCTTCTTTGTCAGGGCCCGAGGAAAGGAGGGGCAGCTGCCCCAGGGCCTTGGAAATCCCTGCTGTCTGTTGTTTGGCAAAGGGCCTCTTATCCATGCATTGCCACAGGACTGGTGCCTGGGGTCCAGGAGACCATGAATGGCTGTTCAGTGGACTTAGAGGAGGCTCTTTCCAGGCAAGTTCTCTGACAATGGATCATTCTGGAAGCCTACCGTATGGAGAACATCACAAAGGCCAGACAAGTTCTGGCCTGGGCCCTAGAGGCTGCACTTCCTAGCCAGGCTGCCCCCTCTAGACAGAGGAACACTTCCTTTGCCTCGGAATGTGCTGTGGAGGACTCTTCCCTCCTCCAGGAGCAGTTTACAAGCCATTTCTGTCTGTCTCCTACACACCCCATGCACTAAGGCTTCCTCAGAAAGTTCACAGTTGTTGCTCATCCACCTCCACGGCTCTTTGTCATTCCTTGAGCAGACGGTCTCGTAGCTCCAAGGAGGTGGAGGTGGCCAGGCTACTGCTAATCCTCAGGGTGCAGAGCTCAGACACCATCCATCTCTCCATGGCTCTGCCCTGTGTCCACACTAGTATGCTGAGGGCAGAGGGCCCTGCACATGTCATCCTCAGCCACGCCATCTCCCCTCAGGAGGTCCAGTGGCACACAGCCAGCGCCATCCCTCAGGGGACCATATCTGTGAGGCAGCCTGCAGTCACGGAGACAGAGGTGCTCAGCCTTTAGGCCACTCAGTTGGCAGAGCAGCTCCTTCCTATTCTTGATTCAACACAGGGACAGTGCCTTCGGCCTTTCCTGTAGATGCAGGGAGGCGTGTAGAGAAATGCCTCTCACTCTCGGAAAGCACTGGCTTCCCGTCTTAACGGGGCATCAGAGGATGGGGCAATGGCTCAGTAAAGTGCTTGACTTAGAAGTATGAGACCTGAGCTCATCCCTGGAACCCATGGGAGAGGCCAGGTATGGTGCCATGAGCTTAAAGTCCCAACACTGGAGAGGCAGAAACAGGCAGATCCCTGGGGCTCACCGGCCAGCCTAGCCTCCTTGGCAAGCTCCAGTCCAGCGAGAGACCCTGCCTCAGAAACAACAGGGTAGACTCCTAAAGAACAGCCATGGTTGTCTTCTGTCCTCCATGTGTATATACACACGCATACAGCACCTGCATGCACACAAACACATAAGCACACGCACACTCACATACATACACGGGCACGCACACACACCTACACACATGTATGTATGCATGCCCCAGAGATACCATCAATTTTGACAATAGCACTTTGTAATTCAAATCTAGCTGTGTCTCCTAGATTTTTGTTGCCTAAACCTGATCACCCTAAGAGAAGCAAGCAGAAACAGACAGACAGACAAACAAACAAAAACAACCCTCAGCTGACACCCCAGTTCCTGGGCTGTGGCTCACTGTTCTGACCTGGTTGTCCAGGGCCTAATGAAGGCATCTGGAGAGCTAGCACCCCCCCCCGCCCCCGCAAGCTTCTGCCAGCAAGGCTCAGGAAGGGCTACAGGGGAAAGAGAAAGTCTCTTAGGAACTAACCGCCCAGCTACACTGAGACCCAGTTTCCCACTCTCTGAGACTAAAGCTGGGGCATTCCCTGCTGTGGCCTCATGGTATATGTCAGAAGTGCTGGGGTTGGGCCACAGCTGTGGCTGGTGCTGGGAATCTGCTAACCACTTGACAACAGTCCAGTGAGACCCAGCACGCCTCCCAGGTCGTACTTGTTGACCTCTGTCGGACAGCTGTGTTCTAACAGCAGCGAAGGAATGTCTCAGCAGCAGGATAGATGAACTTGCCAACCAGAGTGAGGGCAAGCAGGCGAAAAGCCAAAGCTGCTTTCTCACAGGTCCTTTGACGTGGGCCGACACCAGAAAGTGAGGCCTACGCCTAGGATTGTCTTCCCACCTCAAATGATGCAATCGATGAAACCCTTCATAGACATGCCTAGATGACCGAGCTTTAGTTGATTCCAGATGTAATCAAGTTGACGATCTAGATTAGAGCCATCATCCCACGTACAAGGTCTGAGCAGGGCTCTACAGCCGCCTCTGAGCTTGGGATGGGATGGTCCATATCTTATAATCTCAAACTATGTGTGTGTGTGTGTGTGTGTGTGTGTGTGTGTGTGTGTGTGTGTGTGTTGCACATACATGTGCAGGTCTACATACATGGAGGCCGGAAGCCAACCTCAAGTGCTTTAAAGTAGATGTTTACATGATTTTTGAGACAGGGTCTCCCACTGGTCGGCAACTCACCAGCTAGGCTAGGCAAGCCCCAGGGACTCTCCTGCCTCCCTTCACCCCAGTGCAGGATCGCAAGCACACAGCACTCTGCCCAGCTTTTTACATGGGTTCAGGGATTTGAACTCAAGTCCTGGTGCTCATAAGGCGAGCACTCTACCGACTTAGACATCCCAACCTACACTCTCCTCCTTTGGTTTTAAAAATGAAGGACTGGAGACTTGGGGCCTGCCTAACGGCTCAGCAGCTAAGGGTGCTTGCCGCTAACCTGACGACCTGTGTTCTAGCCCAAGAACCCCTGCGGCAGAAGGAGAAAATCAACTGAAAATTGTCGTGTGGCCTCTGCATTCACGTCATGGGTGCCCCACTGCACAAAAAATAGCATCATAACAAAATAAAATACACGTAAAATGACTTGAGAAAAGAACCATGGACTTGAAATAGTGACTCTTCGTGGTGGGCTAATCACACCAGGGTAGAGGCCACCAGTCCTCCCATTCATACGGGTTCTAGTAACATCCCAAATGGCCGCGCGCGCGCGCGCAATGTCTTTACAGCCTCCCCGGGATGAGAGCCTGAATGGCCTTCTGCAAGGCTACAGGATCTACTACCGTGAGCTGGAGTCCGAGACAGGCGTGAGCCCCGAGGCCAAGACACCCAAGAGCCCCTCTGCCTTAAGAGCTGATCTCACAGGTGAGCGATGCCCCTCTATCCTGGGGATGTCACAGGGAGCCTCGCGTGTCTGTCTGCTTCTTAGAAGGCGTGCTGGGAAGGAGGAGCTAGGGCAAGGCACGGGAGTGGGCACCGCGTGGTGTGGAGCCCTGGGGCACAGACGCAGGCAGTGGACCTGGAAGCTGGATCGAGGGAGAAGGGGCGGGCTCTCCAGGACCACGTCGTGTAAAGAGTGGCCTGGGGTGAAGGCCACACCCATCTAATCCACGTGTGGGCACCCCTGGTCTCCACTGAGCCTGCACCCCACCTCAGAGGTTCTCTGCTCTGTTAATAGTTAGCTGCCAGGGAAGAAGCTTAATTCAGAAGACCCTGCCTCTCTGCCGCCCTCTCTGGAAGGAGACTGTCCCTAAATAGTGTCATAGAAAATCCCCCCTTTGCCAGGTGTGGTGGTACACGCCTTTAACCCAGGCCCTCGGAGGCAGAGGTGGGTGGATCCCTATGATGGGGACAGACAGGGTAGGGGAATTGTACAGCCCCTCCTACCTACCTCACCTCCACAAGGCCAGGAAGCCGTGTGATGTTGGTTCACCCAACATGCAGCCGACTCCCTGCTCTACCCCGTCCTTTCCACCAGAGGCCACATGCCGACCGCACACAGACCTATTCCTGGTGGGCTCTCAGGCACACCCACCTGGCCCCAGAACACTCGATGGGTTCTCACCCCTTCAGACTAGAGTCCCACAGGTTGCAAGCATCAGTCCATCGACATCCCTGCATCCCAGAAAGGCCTGGAGGAAACAAATACAAAAGCAAAACAAAGCAACGAAACCCAAACATATCTGTGCCTTCCCTGGCATCCCCCACACGGTGGCCAGTGCCCCTACATTTGTTTCCCTCTCCCAGAGGGCCTGACTCAGGCTGCTTTGTCTTGAGGTGTGGTGAGGAAGTACAGTAGCCCCCAGGAACTAATGGGACGCCTGTAGGCTCTGTAGCCCCTGGGGAACTGTGGGAATCGCCACAGAATCCCGTCCATCTTGTGGTGTGCCCCATTCCACCCCTGCACGTGGCTTGTGGGTCCCTCCGTGCTCACTGCCTTCCTTACCCCTTGTAGCCCAAAGCAGCTTCAAGACCGTGAACAGCAGCTCCACGCTGACGACCTATGAGTTAACACGTAAGTGCAGAGCGCCTCGGGCCCCTGAGACTGTGTGCGGCCCTGCCCAGACATCCAAGGGAAACCAGCCTGGATTCGTGCTCTGGTTGCTGGCCTTCCCCCGCCCACACACCAGGAGGAACTTCCAGAGGCGGAGGCTGGTGGGGTTCACTACCTAGCACCGCATCTGACTGGGGTGGGAGGGAAAGTCAGAAAAGGTTCTCTTTGATCTCTCTCTCTCCCTGTGTCTGTCTCTGTCTCTGTCTCTCTCTCTCAAATTATAGTGAAATATACAGGCCAAAATTTACCATCCTAACCATATTTTTTCAGTTTGTGGGCTGGCCTGAGTATACGTCCATGTACCATGTGTGTGCCTGGTGCCCAAGGAGGCCATAAGAGAGCACTGGATCTCCTGGAATGGGAGTTACAGAGAGTTGGGAACCCCCATATGGGTGCCAGGAATCAAACCCTAGTCCTCTAGAAGAGCGGCAAGTGCTGAGCCAGGCCCCATCTTGGCTAGTTAAAAGGCAGGATCCACTTGTCTGCTCTCTGAACTGAAACCATCTCCACTGAACACTGACCGCAAGGGCTGGGGTTTGCAGCTCAGTTGGTGGAGGAATTCGGAAGCCCTGGGTTCCATTCCCAGCTTGCCATAAACCAGGTGTGGTCGTACATGCCTGTAATCCCAGCACTTGAAAAGTGGAAGCAGGAGGATCAGATGTTTGTTAAGTGCCTAGGTCTTCATCTGCTGGCTGTTTTGGGGAGATCTGCTGGACAAAGGCAGGCCAGGTCATGGACACTTTGTTGCCCTTCATCTGGGCACAGGTGGGAGGAGTCATCTCAGTTGATTGACAGGAGCATCAGGAGGCGGGAGGGAGGCATTTCCCAGTCCTCCAAAGAGCAGTCTACTTTTCTCCCTGCAGTCCCCACTGCCTGGGTGTGGCCCACACAGGAAATCTAGGAGCAGACGCTGATCCAGCTATAGGCTGACCACATGTGTTTGACCTTGTAGATCTGAAGAAGTACCGGCGCTATGAAGTCATCATGACCGCCTATAACATTATCGGCGAGAGCCCAGCCAGTGCGCCCGTGGAGGTCTTCGTTGGTGAGGCTGGTAAGCTCTGAGCCTGTCCCTCATCTCACAGCCAGATAAGGACGACAGCAGTCTACAGAGAATTGCAGGAAATACACATACTCACTTCACAGTGAGAACACTGGAGACTCAAGAAGAATGATTATTTTGGTTCCCGGTTTTCATCCATTAAGTGGGAAGGGGTAGAGCAATTCCCATCATGGAGGCGGTGAAAGCGCTTACCTGTATCACGGCTTCCTCTTCTACCCCAGTGTTCCATCAGGTAGTCCCACCTACAGGATGGTGCTGGCTGCATCCTGGGTATCGCTGTTCCCTTTAGTTAATGCTGTCTGCCCTTGCACACAAACCCAGAGGTGGCTTTACTAATCTAGGACAAGTCTTGTCAAGTTGACACTTGTTGCTGTGACAAACACCTGACAAAAAGAACTCACCAGAGTGTGCATTTACTTTCTCATTGCTGTCAAAATAAGCAACTTAAGAAGAGTTGATTTGGCTCACGGTTTGAGGGTGCACAGTCCGCTGAGGTGGGGGAGTTGCGGTGGCAGGCTGGAGGCAGCTGGTCACATGGCAACCACAGTCAGGAAGCACAGAGAGTCGAATTCTGACACTCAGCTTGCTTTCTCTCTTTTTTACTCAATCCAGAACCCAGCCCATGGGATGGATGGTGTCACCCGTATTTAGGGAGGTCTTCCCACCTCAGTTGGTCTAATCTGGAAAACTTTCTTATGGGCATTTCCAGAGGTCTTTCTCCTAGGTGATTCTAGATCCTGTAGAGTTGACAATGTCAACCATCCCAGAAAGGAAAGTTTTACTGTGGCTTGCTGGTTGAGGGATACAGTCCATCCCAATGGGGAAGACATGGTGGTAGAGGAGGCTCATGGCTCTGTCAGCGGGAATATGAGGTGCCCCCTTGCATTCATATCGGGGAAACTGGGCACTTGGCTTGAACCATGGTCAAGCTAGGTAACCCAAAAGGTCCATCCTCTAGCAACACGCCTCCTCCAGATGGGCCTTGGCCTCCCACAACAGCTCCACCAGCTGAGGAGCAAGCATAGAAACAAATGTGTGTACATTAACATCAAAATGACCACAGAGGTCAAGATTAGCCGCCAGTATCCTCCCTGGTTTGGAATGCTGACCTTCTCATTTGATTGAATCGATGGGCCCGCTGCCAGCAAGATCTCCTGTGTGACTTTCCTTGCTCTCAGCACCCGCTGGCACACCATCACTTTCTTGAAGCTACGAGGTTCTCCGTAGAGGACTGTTTGAGTCAAAGTTCTCTAGAGCGACAGAACCGAGAGATGGAATGTATATCTTGAAGAGTTTGTATTAGGTTGCTTTACATGACACAGCTGGGCGGTCCAACGGTGGCCATCTGCACCCTGGGAGTCTGTTAGCTGCTTGGTCTGTAAGGCTGAATGTCCTAGTAGATGCCTGGAGGGTTCCTGGGAAGCTGCTGGCCCTTCATGCATATGGAAGGCTGAAGACGTGGCGTGCTGTGCTGGTAGCAGCAGCAACGGCACAGGAAGAGACCAACTCTTCCCCCAAGGAGCAAAGGTAGGCAAAGGAACACACCAGCTTCTCCCTCAGACCTTCTTATATGTTGCTTGCATCCAGAAGTTGCTGTCTACGCTGGAAGATGCTCTACCCTGCTCTACTAATACTTCCTGGAAACGTTTTCAGTTTTCACAGACTTCTCAGAGGCAGGGCTGAGTTGATGCCATGTCTAACCAAGTTGACAAACAAATTCAACTATCACAAGGGCCTTGTGGGCCTGCAAGAGGACTTGCCTGGGCCAGACGGTGGAGCCAGAGGAACATTTGTTCTGTCATCCCCAACAGTTTCTGATGAGCAAAAAAGGCAGGCTTAGAGTGGACAGGTCACCTACCCAAGTTTAGACAGTGGACAGGTCCACCTGCTCCAAAGCCAGGTCTTCCCACTCTCTTCACCTCAAGCCAGGCCACCTGTGACTGTTCACCTTGACCATCATCTTGACAGGATCTCAAATCACCCAGGAGACACCTCTGGCCTTGTCTGTGAGGGATCATGTAGATTAGGCTGACAGAGGTGGGAAGATCTGCCCTAAACAAGGTGGCACCATTCCCTCCACTGGGGTCCCGGGCTGAATAATAAGGAGAACACGAAGTAAGCCCCAGCATCCATTTCTCTCACTGCTTCCTGATTGTGGATAGAATGTGACCTGATACAATGTGGATACAATGTGACCATCACGTTCCTGCCGCCACGCCTTCCCTCAGGATGGACAATACCCCAGGCTGTGATTCAGCGTCAACCCTTCCTCCCTTCAATTGCTTTTCTTAGGTACTTTGCCACATCCCTGAGGGAAGAAACTTGGAGACTAGCCCCATATGTCTTAATACAGCCCTCTTGAGGGACTCCATGTCTGACTCCCCTGCCCTGCCCTTTCTTTATTACTTTATTACTGCCTGCGCCCATCCGAGATAGTGTCCCCAGAAGTACATGCTGCCTTCAGTCCCTCCTGCTCCCCCATACACACCATTCCAGACACGGCCCCTCTGTGCCTCAAGCATTGCACGTAAGTCCCAGGTCCCAGCTCACGTCTCTCCTGGGGAGAATTCTCCGGGAGGAGGAAGTAGTGAGCCGGGGCAGCATCCCTTCCGGCTAATCATCAGCCTTCTCTGTGCCTCACACTCAAACACCTGACCACAGCAGGCCAGCAGCTCAGCAGGCCAGAGCAGCAGTAACAGTGCTAACTGCCAACAGGCAGGCTGGGCTCATCCTTCTGTGGGCCGTGCGTACATGTATGCAGGCATGTGTGTGTGTATGTGTGTGTTTACACGAGTGTAGGTATATACCTGCAAAAGCACACATGTGGAGGTCAGAGAACAGTTAGTGAGAGTCGGCTTCTCCTTCCATCGTGTAACTCCCAGGGACTGAACTCAGGTCAGCAGGCTTGGGAGCAAGCACCGTTACCTGCTGAGCCAGGTCACCTACCCAGTGCTCTCATAACTACCGTCTGGGTCCCCCACCTGAGCCAGCCAGAAGTACTCAGAGGCTTTTATGGAAACAAATCGAGCTGTGGTTTTGTGAGTCTGAGGGATGTGTCCGCCTTTTGCTGGCTGTGTGACCTTGAGGACAGTAGTCAGCCACTCTGAGCAGAGTGGTGTTTTAAGGAAATCTGTGAGCAACAGTGGGGAAACTCCAGCTCGTCTGCCCATAGAAGGATTGTGTAGAATGTGCCCGGCCTGACATAACCATCTTCATGTTTACTGAGCATGCTCGAGGCTCCTCTGTGCGTGTCTAAGGCATCTGGCTGGCCACGGGATGGGGCGTGGAGAGAGGATGTTGTCTCTGGTCTCCTCTTATCCGGTATGCAATGTTTACCTCTAAAGCCCCAGGGAGAGGGTGTTGTAGAGGGCTTTCCAAGGCCAGCATCTGAATGCCAGCGTTACAAGTTGGGAAGGAAAAATGAGTCTGTCAAGATCCACACCACAGGAGGCAGAACCCAGCTCCAAACAAGACTTGGATGGAAGAGTCGGTGATGCTCGCATGAGCTCGATTCCATTATAGGAAAACACCTGTTTAGTTATTTGAGGCATCATCAGACAGCCCAGGCCGGCCTGGAACTCACTCTGTACCTGAGGATGGATGACCTTGAACTCCACATCCCTTTGCCTCCACCTTCCAAGTGCTGGGATCATAGGTGTGAGCCTCTGCACCTGGGTCATGCCAAGCAGGGACAGAACCCATGGCCGCCCGTATGCACTCTGCACCGTTAAGGTCTGTAGTGGAGTTTGCTGCAGGGTAGAAGATGAGCTTCTTCCAGATGGGTTCAGATGGGTCTGCTACCCTGACCTCCTCCCCTGGCACCACCAACCCATCAGCAGGAACTGTTGAGACTGAGTTCTTCTTACTCATGGACCAGCCTGTGGCGAGCTTTCCATGGTCTCTGCCAGCTGCCTGGTTCCTTTGCGCCCCATTGTCACACATGGCTCATACTTAGCAACTCTGGTAATGCTCTTGGTTTTTACATCTTCAAAGCCATTTTATGAGTCTGACAGTCACTTTGGCAAGTGAAAAAAAAACATACAAATTCTAGGATTTTGACAGGAAGTGAATTAACTGACAAAGTGATTTAGGGACCGCTGATGCTCTCCTCCTGTCTCTGTTTCCGACTCAGGAATTGGCTGGAGTCTGTCCACATCTTGTTGTGGGGCTGGCAGTGTTCTCCATACAGACGGCTTATACAGTGGCTGCCAACAGGTTTTCCTGCAGTTATTACGAAGAGGCTGTGGCGACATGTCCCTGCCCTGCTCACAGCCACTCATGGTGTGAGGCAGTGGCTCATATTCTTGCTGACATGCAGTCAATTTTAGTCCTGCAAAAAGAGCCACCAGGAGCATAGCTCAGTGGAGTGCATGCTTAGAATAGCCAAGGCTCTAGCGTCAAAAGCAGGGGCTGGGGAAATGGCTTGGTGTGTAGAGAGCTTGCCAGGAGCATGGATAAGGACCTGCATCTCATTCCCAGAACACACACATACACACACACACACACAGAGAGAGAGAGAGAGAGAGAGAGAGAGAGAGGTGGGGGGGAGGGAGCTTGACACTGTGGCATGTGTTTTAATCCCAGAGACAGTGACAGGCAGATTCTTAAGGCTCTGTGGCCAGCCCAGCCTAGCTTACTTGGCAAGTTCTAGGCCAGGGAGAGACCCTGGCTCAAAAAAAAAAACAATATGGACAGTGCCTGAGGAACAACATTAAGGGTTGACCTTGGGTTGACCTTGGCCTACACATCTCACACACACACACACACACACACTCATGCGCTCATGCGCGCATGCACACACGTGTGTGTACAATGAACGGCCTTTTAAGTTCTCTGGAAAGGAGCTCGGACTCGCCCTCATCCACTCAGTGGGGGTTACTATTACATGCCCACTAGCAGCTGAAGGCCCAGAACTTTGGTCTTTAGCTCCACGGATTTCCCCAGAAGAGCAGAGATGGACACACACTTGGTGCGAGCAGGCGCCCAGGCCG